ATCAAAGATTCCTCGTGCCACAATTAAGACCTGGCACAGTCAAATAAATATTTTACAAATTCTTAAAAAAAAAAAGTAGTGTTTGGTGAAATCCTGGAAAAGTTAGCAACTCACTGTGAGAATGTGGCCAGGAAAACATGTGAAGCATGTATGTAGAATTACAATGTGCTGAAACCCCAGGATGCTGTGGATGGGGATGGGGTGTGATGCACAGGAAGATGCTGGTTCCTTGAGCCTCAAGTATGGCCCTAACCTAGGGCTTGGGGCCCTCAACTATAAAAGGGAGACACCCCCACAGCACCTGCCCCCACCCCAGTGGCAGCAAGGAGGGGAAAGGGAGACATCTGAAAAGCCCTGTTAACCCCTGCAGCACTGCACAAAGGTTAAAGTGTCTTAATCTACTTTAGTATTTCACTTTGCACAACAGCACCTTTTCCGTTTCTGAAAGTTTTCAAATAAGCCCCCAAAAGCCATTCCAGCCAACAAGAAAGGCTCCTAAAAGTAACTTTTATGACAGCAAAGGAGACACGGATTTTCTTTAAGACACTAAAGAGGAGGTATTCTTCTGACTGTTTTCAAAAATACCTCAGCTGACTCTACAAAACCGCCTGAAAACAAAGCAACAAAAGAATTGGCCATCACTCTGCACCTCAGCCCAACAGGTGGAACTGGGGGAGGAACTTACATAACAGAAGGTGGACCCTCCTGATTCCTGACTTTGATGACCCGCTATTCTGCTCCCGGGGACCTGCTCTTTGTCTATGCCAACTCCCCTTTCCCTCCTGTCTTTTTCTACACTACAAAAGAGCTCAGAAGTTCTATTTCTGGCCTAGTGACTCTTCCAGCCACTGCTGGGTGTAAACCAGATTTAGCCTAAGGCTCGGCAGGTGACAGGCCCACTCAGGCCAGCAGGGAGAGATGGACGCCAAACCTGTCCCAGATCTCATAGCCTGACTGTCTCATGAGCAGCCAGGCCCACCTGAGGGCTCTGTGAGTGAAGACGCCTCTCCTTCCTTGGCCATCTTTCAGCCCCACAACCAGGGTCTCCACACAAGGGACAAGGGGCTCCTATGAGAGCGGGAGAGGAGGAAAACCAATGGTCCTGAGAAGGAGTCAGAAGGAAGATACGGGGCCAGCCCCAGGCCATCTTCTGTCCCCGGGGGAGCTGGGGAAAGAGGCTTCAAGCTTAGCCAGTATGGACCAGGCAGCTGCCAGTCATGGTGAGGACAACCGTGGGGCGTCTATGATAAGCCCTGGGCCACACAGAACACCCAGGCCTGCCTCCCGGGTGTGGGTCACCCCTGGCCGGTGCACCCACGTGGTAAGGAACCAGCATCACCCACAACTGTCTGAACATACCACGGCACGCATCCTGGGGCCCTTCTGTGTCCCCTCCCCGCTCCCACCCTGGCCCAGCAGGCAGAGCAAGCGGTGTTGAAGCATGGAAGCCCCTGGAGGGAGTCAGTCCCACTGCATGGACGACTTAAAGTGAGAAGTCGCCCTTCCCCTTCCACCTCTGCAGGTGGGCTTCACACAGCTACGGCCGAGCCAAAACTCAAAACCATGGCAGGTTCGCTACAGGCCAGTGTCCTAGCTACTGACATTTACAGAGTTCCAAATGTCACTTATCTCTCTGCAACCAGAGCTGGATTTCTCTCCACCCTCCTGATTTGGGCCAAACCTGCCCATTCCTGAGACAGATGTGGGGTTGGGCTTTATTGCTGTGACTGTCTGAAGTGCCCTCATCCTCTTGGGTTCCCACCCATCCCAAAGCCTGTGTCAGCAACTGTCCACTGGTCTGTCTCCAAGGAGTTTTGGGACAAAGCTTGAGAGGCTGCGACCCTGTGCCTCTGGAGCTCTGCCCACAGCAGACATTTAATACAAGCCTGCTGGTCACTCTCCAATGTAAAATACGGGGGAACATTCCTGTTTGAGATGAATAAGCAGCAGTAACTCACTTGCCTTCAGAGCCCCAAGGGTACCCACAAAGGACTCAATACACCTGGCTCTGCAGTGCCAAGCATGGGAATCAGACACCAATTCCCTCCAAGGATTGGTCAAGGTGGCACAGTCCTTGACTGCTAAACCACCCAGCCCTGGGTGGTATGAGCTGAGCCAGAGGAATGACAGATCCGTGCCAATACCGAGATGGTTTGGCAGTATAACTGACTCCAAACCAGAGTTAGGCCACCTCCCCCAGCCCCAGCCAAAACCATGACAAAGCCCATTGTTCTGATCCCCGCTAAGGTGCCCTTGCCATCTCGGCTGCACTGCAGCATCACGGCAATGGCAGCTACCATCAACAAAGCACATACACATGCCAAGCAGACACACATTGACATACATTGCCCGAGGAGGCAGGAGAGCCCTGTGAGAAGACAGTGTCAGACGTCTCAGACTGTCCTCTCACCTGTAACCACCGGGGTGCCAACCGTGTGCCATGCTCTAGGTCAGGCACTGGGGATGCAAAGAAGAGCAAAATACAGCACCTGTCCTCAGGAGCCCACAGTTTGTGGAAGAAAACAAAAATAGGCCAATGACACAAAGTGAGAAATGCTATAATGAGGACATTAACTCAGGCCTGGCTTCATAGGATCTGGTAGATTCTAAACAAAGCTAGCCATGTTCTTTTGTATAAATTACTTAAAATCCCTAAAGCCCTGTTTCTTCATCTGAAATATAGACGAGCTCTATGAAGACAATCTATATGATGTGCTTATCTCAAGGTAAACAAAAACAAAGCAGAACAAAATACTGAATACAAAAACTAATGATCACTCTTTTAGTTAATCACAAATAATTAGATTTCGTGTATAGGTTTCAAATACGACATCTTAAAGTATTTCTAGTTTTTTCTCATGTATACATTTTCAACTCTTACAAGTTTAGAGTCTCTAACCTACACCTGATTCTTTACTGGAAGGTCACTAGGATGACCATATAATTTATTGCCCAAATCAGGAAACCTCTGAGAGTGGGGGAGAAAGGAATGATTAATAATTCCACTGGGACAACACAGTAAACCAGATGTACCATTATGAACAAAACTGTTGATCACTCCATCACTCACAGGCTGATTTCGGGGGCAGGGTCAGCAGCCATCACAAAAGCTTCCTTTCTCCATCATTCTTAAGAGCTGTGAACAATTTTGGAAACTGGCCCAACAAAACTCCAATCTGGAAGACAGCCAGTCCCTGGGACATGCCATCCAGAATTCAGGAAAGTCAATGTACATGAATTTCCCCCTCCACACACACACATACACACACAGCTCCTCCCAAAACCTGAAAAAAAAAGTCAGACCCTGGTCTTGCTCTTGGCACCTGGCAACATCCCCCACTTGTTGTAGACTTAACTGTCTTCTATCGAAACAGCAGTGGTCCTTTCCGCCCCCGGAAGAGCCCCCTCACCTCAGGTGTCCCAGGCTGTAGAAGCGGGACTCGCCGTCGGTCGAGCGGACCACCTGCAGCGTGAACATGGGCTGCAGCTGCCTGAGTTCCAGCAGGACGACGGCCAGGTAGTGGATGAAGAGGAGCGCGTCCACGAGAGAAACGGCATATTGCACGATGCCCTGGTAATTTCGGTCCCGCGAGTCCAAAATGCGGACCCCATAAAAAAGCCAATAGGAGACCACGAAGAGAAAGATGAGGACCAACAGGAGGGCACGGAACACGAAGATCCGCGGCATGTCAGCTCTCTGCTTGCGGAAGAACAGCGCCCAGGTCCCGATGAGCAGAATGAGGAGCTTGAACGCCACGGAGATGAAGAGTCCCTCGCAGATGGTGCCGCAAGGCTCCAGCTCGTCCCGCCACAAGATGGGGGGCAGCAGGATGAAGGCGATGGGGGTGAGGAAGACCAGGAGTCCGAGCACCGCAGCCACGGTGAGCCCCAGGTAGCGCCTACAGTCCAGCCCCACGCTGTCCTCCATGTCCTTGCTGATGCGGGCGATGTCCTCCTGTGAGATGCTGTGCTCCGACGTGCCAGTGATGGCCGTGGTGGTCTCGCCCCAGTTGTCATCCTGATCGGGAGAGAACAGTGAGGACAGACGGCCACACGGCACACGGCGTATTAGAGCCACAAAGCCCGCAGACGCACGGGGGACGGGAGGGCCCACCTTCTTCAACCACAGTCCACACGTGTGGGCTTCCTGGGAAATGAAGCCTGATACACACATGGGCTTTCTGGGAAACGAAGGCTTCACCCTTTAAATAGAGGAATTTTTAAACTATGGCAATTTTCCTTTAAGTTTTGCAAACTATACCATACATTTACCTTTTCCAACAGAGAAAACATAACTTGACCTGTTTGTGGGTGATTTATTACTACCACAGTGACTATCATCCACTGTGTTGGAATTCCAGAGAGGCTCGGTGATAGACAATCGGCTGTTAGAAAATCGTGTGCAAGTTTGCCTACAGCCCAAGGAGAAAACCTTCTGCATTTCCTTCTTGATTCACGACTGGGCCATAAAGGCTTACAGAGTCCATCTGTCGGAAGTGGGGAGTAATAGTAGCCTGGGCCTTCCAGGACCTCTGAGGAGTGAAGACCTTGCACAGGAGGGAACTGACATGGTTACATACACATCAAAGCCCGCCTGTAGTTGGTACACACATTTTTTTAAACCGCCACAATGTTTTTAAGACCCATTTAATAAGTATCAAGCACTCTCTGATATTTCTCATTGAACAAGCAAAACAGATTCAATTATCGATGGCCCAGACAGCTCAAAACTTCCTTCTTAAACACGAGTTCCTGTGACAAATTGAGCATCAAAGGTATAAAAATACTGAGATTGAGACTTCCCTGGTGGTCCAGTGGCTAAGACTCTATGCTCCCAATGCAGGAGGCCCAGGTTCGATCCCTGGTCAGGAAACTAGATCCCACATGCCACAACTAAAGATCACGCAGGCCGCGGCAAAGAAGGAAGATCCATGTGCTGCAACTAAGACCCAGTGCAGCCAAATAAGAGGTCCTTTCCGCCCCCGGAAGAGCCCCCTCACCTCAGGTGTCCCAGGCTGTAGAAGCGGGACTCGCCGTCGGTCGAGCGGACCACCTGCAGCGTGAACATGGGCTGCAGCTGCCTGAGTTCCAGCAGGACGACGGCCAGGTAGTGGATGAAGAGGAGCGCGTCCACGAGAGAAACGGCATATTGCACGATGCCCTGGTAATTTCGGTCCCGCGAGTCCAAAATGCGGACCCCATAAAAAAGCCAATAGGAGACCACGAAGAGAAAGATGAGGACCAACAGGAGTGCACGGAACACGAAGATCCGCGGCATGTCAGCTCTCTGCTTGCGGAAGAACAGCGCCCAGGTCCCAATGAGCAAAATGAGGAGCTTGAACGCCACGGAGATGAAGAGTCCCTCGCAGATGGTGCCGCAAGGCTCCAGCTCGTCCCGCCACAAGATGGGGGGCAGCAGGATGAAGGCGATGGGGGTGAGGAAGACCAGGAGTCCGAGCACCGCAGCCACGGTGAGCCCCAGGTAGCGCCTACAGTCCAGCCCCACGCTGTCCTCCATGTCCTTGCTGATGCGGGCGATGTCCTCCTGTGAGATGCTGTGCTCCGACGTGCCAGTGATGGCCGTGGTGGTCTCGCCCCAGTTGTCATCCTGATCGGGAGAGAACAGTGAGGACAGACGGCCACACGGCACACGGCGTATTAGAGCCACAAAGCCCGCAGACGCACGGGGGACGGGAGGGCCCACCTTCTTCAACCACAGTCCACACGTGTGGGCTTCCTGGGAAATGAAGCCTGATACACACATGGGCTTTCTGGGAAATGAAGGCTTTACTCTTTAAATAGAGGAATTTTTAAACTATGGCAATTTTCCTTTAAGTTTTGCAAACTATACCATACATTTACCTTTTCCAACAGAGAAAACATAACTTGACCTGTTTGTGGGTGATTTATTACTACCACAGTGACTATCATCCACTGTGTTGGAATTCCAGAGAGGCTCGGTGATAGACAGTCGGCTGTTAGAAAATCGTGTGCAAGTTTGCCTACAGCCCAAGGAGAAAACCTTCTGCATTTCCTTCTTGATTCACGACTGGGCCATAAAGGCTTACAGAGTCCATCTGTCGGAAGTGGGGAGTAATAATAGTAGTCTGGGCCCTCCAGGACCTCTGAGGAGTGAAGACCTTCCATAGGAGGGAACTGACATGGTTACATACACATCAAAGCCCGCCTGTAGTTGGTACACACATTTTTTTAAACCGCCACAATGTTTTTAAGACCCATTTAATAAGTATCAAGCACTCTCTGATATTTCTCATTGAACAAGCAAAACAGATTCAATTATCGATGGCCCAGACAGCTCAAAACTTCCTTCTTAAACACGAGTTCCTGTGACAAATTGAGCATCAAAGGTATAAAAATACTGAGATTGAGACTTCCCTGGTGGTCCAGTGGCTAAGACTCTATGCTCCCAATGCAGGAGGCCCAGGTTCGATCCCTGGTCAGGAAACTAGATCCCACATGCCACAACTAAAGATCACGCAGGCCGCGGCAAAGAAAGAAGATCCATGTGCTGCAACTAAGACCCAGTGCAGCCAAATAAGTAAATAAATAAAAATAAACTTTACAAAATACCAAGATTACTAGAATGTGTGTCTTTTACTATCTTGCTTTCTCTTGCTTTTTAAAGTTTGTGATTATTTGGAGCAATTGTCTCCTCACTTAACATGATCTACTTTTCAGGTTTTTAAACAGTTTTGCTATTTCTCTGGCAAAGACGACTCCGTTCCAAAGCAATGACAGAGCAAGAAGACGATGAAAAGCCACACTGGGTCCAAAGGGGTCTGCCTCAGAAATTTGTGTGTATGATTTAAGTTGGAAAAAACAGTCAGATATGGTGGTAAGCTGGGTGAAATTAATGCATAAGATACCAATTTCAAAAAATCTAGTCTAAGTTAATAGCTGAATCAGCAGGCTAGAGATCTCACAGCTAAACAATAACCTCAAATCTAGCAACAATAAATAAATATGATTTAAAAGCATAGGCTACAGAAAGAAACAGTAGTGGTGGCAATAAAGATCTGAACCTATGAACAAATAGTTCTTTGACTCAGAAAGTTACAAGTATCATGTACTAAGAAGTTGTTATTTAAGATAACAGCCAGAAGCAACCATTATTCTCTCATTGCTGGTGGAAGTACAAATGGTATAGACACTCTTGAAAACTGGTCTGATAGTTTCATACAAATGTGACTTTACACTTAACTGGATAGCCCCAGTAATTCCACTTCCAGGTTTTTACCCCAAATAAATGAAAACATATGTCCACAAAAAGATTTGTACAAGAATGTTCTTAACAGTTTTATTTTCATAATAGCCCAAAATGATGCAGCTCAAATGTCTATCCATAGGAAGAAGAATGGATAACAAATTGTGGTATATGCATACACTAGAACACTATTGCTGAAATACAGCAAAACATGGATAAATCTCAAAGTTATGATGCTGAGTGAAAAAAGGTCCAAAACAAAGTATGATTCCAATTATATTAAATTCTAAAACAGGCAAAACTAATCTACAGCGATTGAATAAAAGCAAGGCTTGCCTTGGAGGGGGCTGGGGGCAGGGATTGACTGGGAAAACATGAGAACTTTCTAGAGTGATAGAAATATACATTTTAATAGCAGGGTGGGCGGGTTATATGGACTTATTCAGCTGTTACAACTTATTGAATTATACACTTAAGATCTGTTTATATCTCTGGGTAAATTTACTTCAATTCTATAAAAAGAAAAAAATCACAAGCATGGGACAAAATGGCTACACATTCAAAGATGGACAACTTGCTTTAACCTAAGGTGAGTCTGTTGTTGTTTAGTTGTGACCCCATAGACAGTAGCCCACCAAGCTCCTCTGTCCATGGGATTTTCCAGGCGAGAATACTACAGTGGGTTGCCATTTCCTTCTCCAGGGGATATTCCTAACCCAGGGATCAAACCTGCATCTCCTGCACTGGAGGTGAATTCTTTACCACTGAGCCACCTGAGAAGCCAAAAGTTTAGTAAAGTAAGTTATTTTGTTACACTCTCAGTGAAGGCAAATATTGGATTCCACGTTTTGCACTGGGCCTAATATTCAGTCGATGATCAGTACTGAAATAATGATCACTAGTGTTGTGGTTATTTGGTTGACGTTGCTGATTTAGTTACTCATCCTTTTTCCTGCCAAAGAGTTGCTAACTAAATCCCCTGTCCATTTTAAGAATGTGTGCACACTTGTGCCCCAAAATGAAGATGCCCAAGGTCTTCCCAAACTTGAGATTCTCAGAATAGAAAGGATCTCAGACCCTCTAACTCAATCCCCTAGATTTTCAATAAAGAAAACGAGGCCCAGAAAGGTTGGACATGCCCAAAGTCACATAGGTGCTGAGGAGTATAGCCTCCAAATGCCCATTTCAGTGCTTTTCCCTGGTGTAAACACCAACTCTTCCTAATGTAACTTTAGGCTTCCTAATGTAACTTTAGAGTAAGATGTAGACATGACAGATGAACTCCCTTCACAGTAGGCCACCAGCACCTGTGAATTCATCCAAGAAGAAACTGACCCCTGGAGCACTTAGGGGTGGTCCAATCTTAGGACTAGCCCAGTCATTTCACCACTCCTCTGGCCCTCTGGCTCTCCATCCCTGTATCCGTCCCAGACCAAGGCAGGAAGTGCAAGAGTCAGGACTAAAGTCATTCACTTATCACTGAACAAACGCCACATTCAACCACAACTGCAGCTTTGGCTTCTAACAGCATCTCGTGTGCTCTGAAGAATTCCAATTTCAGTCCATATATCTGCTTACCAATGCATATCTGTCTGTACTTTTAAGAACATACAGATATATGGTTATCTGTATCTTTATAGCTGTGCGGGCACCCATTCGTTTACTTGGGGCCAAGGCTGGACACGCATATACTTCAAGAGAGTGTGCAAACACGTTTCTGAGTATAACTCAGACGTTTATTCAGATCAACTGGACTGTGAGACAGTTGGAACCCAGAGAGAAGAACACAATGTTTTTTTTTAATTAATAAATAGACAATACTTTAAAACTGGGTTATTTGGGGACTTCCCTGGCAGTCCAGCGGGTAAGACCTCGCCTTCCAACGCAAGAGGTGCAGCTCTGACCCCTGTTTCAGGAGCTTGGATCCCATGTGCCTTGCGGCCAAAAAACCAAAACATAAAACAGAAACAGCACTGAGACAAATTCAATAAAAAAAACTTTAAAAAAAGCCAAAAAAAAAAAAAATTTGGGTGATTTCACATTAAATCCTAATTTCCAGCTTTTCTTAAATATTGCAAGACCCAGGAACACTAAATTCCTGCATTCTTGCACAGTGATAAGCACTCAGAGCTGAGAAGCTGCCACTTTTTTGACAGAAGAAATACATTCTCCAGGTGCCAGACTCCATCACTCCATGCTACAGCCCTGACACTGATGTACCACACAGATTACTAGCCAAGCTAGCTGGTAGATTTTTGCCTCTTCTGTGTAACCCAGGGCCTACTTTATTCACTTATATTTCCCTATCAGGCATCTAAGTGTGTGGCCTCCGGTTTGGTGAGGCTCCGTCTGGGCTGTCCTAACCTCTCTGCTCCTCTTCCCAACATGACTCAGGGTCTCTGGAGAGAGAGCTTCCTGCTCTTCTATACTGTTCTGCTTTGGAATGAGTCTCCAGAGCCCAAGCCTGCAACTCTCCCTTCCCTGTCCTGTCATCAGCCCTGGCTGGCTTCTTTTCAACACCATTCCAAGCAAGCCAACCAATCACACTTCAGAATAATCCTCAAGCTGGCCAATCATAGGACAGGCTGTTCTTAGACCAACAAGAAACCACGGGACATAGATAAACTAATTAACATGCTAGAAAAATAAAGATAAAAACCCAAGAGAACCTATGGCAACAAGACTTAGGAAAACATTTACAGAAAAGAAGCCTGATCAAGCGGCAGTGTACTTACAGACTGCCTTTGATCCTTACCTGAGCTTCCTCTGTCCGAGCAGAATCATTTGCCAACAGGGGCTCTCCAGTGGGAGCTTGAATGGTGACAGATTTTTCTGACCCCCTGCCATCTTTATTCCGGGGTGACTTGTGCCTCTCTCTATTTCTTTCCCTGAAAAAACATGAAAGATAATCAGCTAGCACATTTATATCATGTTAATTAACCCTCATCAAAACATGTTATGAATTTCATCTTGAATTTAAGAAAATTCTGCAGACACACACACACACATACTGTGCCAATCCCCACCCACTGCCACCCCCACTGTGAGGAATAAGTTGATCTTTATTCCCTACTTACTATTTTCTTTCGGGCACTCTCAGACCCAAAACAAAGACTGTCACTCCTTCTCTCTCAACAGTGGTCATATTTTTTCAAAGTCTAATATTGTGAATTTTAGAATGTCTGTAGATAAGGCACATTTCACTGTAAGATTACTGATTTGATTATAATTTACCTAAATTTATTTTCTAGAACATTATTTTATTGGGACAACACAGCAAAATACTTAAGCTTCGGTCTACCCAAAAAAAATCTGGGACACACTGTCAGCCCTACACCTTTGGACAAGAGAAGAAAGGAGATTCTAACCAAGAGAATCACTTACTTCTCTTTCCTACAAATTCGAAACTAAAAGTCATTCTCATAGGTTCTAGATGAACTCAAGGTACCCACAGAAACAGACAAAAGCTAGGACAAATGACACCAAGACGTACACACATGTGCGTGTGTGAGGGTGTGTGTGCGTTTTCTCTAAGAAAAGCAGGCTGCTGAATCATTTTACCCCAGATAAATTTCCTGAGTGGTCTTCGAGGGAGATTAGGAAAGCACTCTGCTCTGGGTCAATGCTGAAATTACAAAAGAATTAACCACTGTGCAAGTCATGACCTGGGCACTGACCATCTATGAAGACTGGTACCCCCAAGCCCAACTGTGAACAGTCCACCCAGGAGCCCCACCAAGGGAGCCCCTCAGTGACCAAGAATAAGTTCCCTCAACACCCCACCTTTTCACAGCAGTTCCTCAGAGCTATCTGAGATGCTGTCTATTATGCTTTAGTTCTCAGGAAGTCCCAAATAAAAGTGAACTCATGGCTTCCATGCTGTGTGTTTTATTTTAATCAACAAACCTCTGAAAACCTGTTTTACCATCTATGAAATGGGGATAATAATCACACCACATAGATATAAGGATGTGAAATAATACATAGTAGCAATAATGTTAACAAAAGCTATAATTATTGCTGTTACCATCAGCACATGGCAAAGAATGTGACTTGACTTGGTGAAGCAGAGTATGTGTTTCTTGGAGAAAGATGAAAAAGAAGCTTTTAACATACAATCAACCCCTCTTACCTTGCACAGTATTTCTCCTATTAATCTACTTAGCTAACAGAATCACACGCAGACTTCCTGTGGGGTCAGACTTCTGCCTTATCCATACCTCCCCAGGATAAGCCCTGGTTAATTCCTTCGAAGGGGAGGGAGGCTCCAGCTGTCCCAGAGACACTTTCAGTGATAGCATCTCTAATCCCTAAGGCATAATCTATCATTACAATCTACTACTAAATAAGAGTCCAGAAAGAGATGTGTTCTCGTCAACACTGATGTTTTATTTTAACTGAGCAACTAAGGAAATGGATAAGAGATTTTGTTTGTTTATCCAGAGACGTGTCTCATTGACAATCACTCTGCTCCCCACCCCAACGCACAGAGCAGTTTGTTTGCTCAGTCATGTCAAACTGTTACGGCCCCGTGGACTGTAGCCCACCAGGCTCTTCTGTCCATGGAATTCTCCAGGCAAGAACACTGGGGTGGGTTGCCATCTGCTATTCCAGGGGATCTTCCTGACCCAGGGATCAAACCCATGTCTCCTGCATCTCCTGCAATGGCAGGCGGATTCTTTACCGCTGCGCCACCCGAGGACCCCCAAAGAGCACCTTACCAAGTGCTTGAAAACTTGTTCAATCCCAATAATAACTTTGTGTGGTATTATTGTCAGCATCTTATACCTGAGGAAACTGAGACTTTGGAGGTTGAGGGACTCCCCAAAGTCAGAGTAAGTGGCAGAGCAGGGTGTGAACCCACTTTCTTGATTCAGACCCACTACGCTGCACCATCTGAAGAACAAATGGAAGATTCTGTAGCCTAAGTATCCCTGACGCTCATTCTCACACCCCAAACTTGAACTACCAGAGCTGCGGAATCTGCCTTTGAAGCTACTTCTAGAAGTCATGACTGGACCCTGACCTTGGAGAACACAACGCAGTGTGCCCAACACTCTGGCCTGCCAAAGACAACCACTTCAAAAGGACTCCCTGTGAGAAACAATAAGCGATGTGGGAGTGATTTCCCATGTGTCTGGTCAGTCTTAGAATGAGCTGTTTAGACTAAGTCTGGAATCACTGCTCCCCAGGGCCCCACCTCAGCCAGGCCAGACCAAGGCACCTCCTCTTCTCACTGTTCCACTTTCCCCAACTGCTCCAACATCTATCACTGTCCTGCCATCTGCCAAGTCACGTGCTCCCCTGACCCCATCTATCTATTCACTGGGCCCACAGGTCAAATCCTGTGACAGCACAAATTCCACCGGCAATCAAAATTCTTTCACTGTGTGCCAATTCCTGCAGCCTGAACACTACCAGGGCCAGAAGCGGGCAGGGAACCACTCGGGGTTGGAAACAGCCCCTTGGGGGGCCAGCTATCCCTCGACTTGACCCCAGCGGGCCTAGTCTGGTTCTTAAAGGGCCCAACCATTCCCAAAGGAGAAGTGATCTCTGCAATTCCCCTGGTAACAGCAGAGCTAAACCAGATAGGAACTATTACCTGATAACCCCCGGAAGGTTTCTCATCCTCCAAGACTGAAACCCTAAACCAATGCTTCTCAAGATCTGAATGTACAGACAAGCCACCTGGGGTGCAGATTAAGTACAGATTCGCTGGCCCCACCTCCAGAGAAATAGTCTGGAGCAGAGAGACAACAGGAATCTGCCCTTTTCATCAGCACCCCAGCTGATCAGGATGCAGGAAACTGCTCAAGGCTCTCCCACCCAAATGCGGCTCAGGGAGGAGGTAGGTGGAATAACTTAGAAATCGTCCTGTTTGTGAAATGCCCTGTATACAAGCGAGGGCCTGATAATGGGAGCCGTGAGTGCAATGCTTAGCTATACAAGGTACAGTGTGGCTTCTAAAACAGCATTAAGTGGATGAGGCTGGGAGCGGGACTCAGGACACTCTGCACTGGGTCCAGAACCAAGAGTTTTCCACATGCTGTCAAGTAAGGGGCCAATGGAAAGCTTCCTCTATCAACTCAGCGTGGGCTGTGCATCACGCTGGGCCTTGTTGAGGGAGCAAAACCTGTCGTACAGCTTTTGTAAAAATCACTGGTCCTGAATGACGCCCTGGGAAGGTGCCTGAGCCTGGACTACGTAGAGAAGTCCAGCAAAAGTGCTGCCACACAGCACTTTCCAGAATGCAGAGCTATGAGCCCAGCATGGCTGCCTCACTGCATTGGTACCCGAACTTTCATCCCCAGAGTGTTAACTGCTGTGACGTCCAGGACGTGCAAAGTACCTATGGGAGAGCCCCCTGCCCCCCCACAGTGGTGAAGACCATCAGTTCACCATGTCTTAAAGAAACAGGAGACATTGAGTAGGCTACCAAACCACTGAAAGGGTCTTTCAGACACAAGAGCACTGGATGTCTTTCCAGCTCCACCTGAGTTGTCTTGATCACCTACACACCTTTGCTGGGCGGGTGTGTCAGCCACAGGAATCCTTGTATCTTTATCTCTGAGCCTGTCTCCATAGAGCATCTGCCTATACGAGTAAAGATAAGTCAGGGATGGGGGGGCAAGCAATAACACGCTGGAGGCTGGGCATCTGTCTGTACCTGCAGGTGTGCGTGTGCAAACGCATGTGTTTAGGCGATCCTAGAGCTGAGCTCCGGGAGGGTGCTGTAAAGTCTCTCTCACTCCAGTCAGAATCCCCACTGAGCCCCAGACCATTCCCACTTACGATCGGCATTTCCTGGGAAGATGATTTGGCTCTATTTCTGTTGTTTGTCTATTCTATTTGGGGGAAAGCCAGCCTCACCGCTTACTCCTCCCTTTCCTTCTCTACCACCACCCACTACCTGTCCTTTCTCTCCACCGACTGCAGGGCCTGGCTGGCTGCTTCCTATCGGGTGGGAGGGCCAGGCACGGCACAGACGGAACTCTGAAGTGGCCTCAGAACAAAAGGACCACTCCCCCTACGCTCTGGCAGCCTCTTTTGGACAATGCATTTTACACATCAGGCCCAGGGCTGACCCTCCAGGCCTTTTTTCCCTACCAGTTACTTCTGCTGCTCTCTACCATGCATGGCCCAGGGAGAAAAGCATGGCTTGCAAAGGAGCAAGAAATGGGGCCTGACAGCTGAGGGTCCCGACCGACCTCATAACTTCAGGCAAATAATGCTCTCTCTCTGCCTCTCAGTGTTATCTATCACCTGTTGAACAGGGGGCCCCCCTCCCACTCTTTAAGGGCTGCTGTGAGGATGGGGGACCATGGCCCTGGGTCTTAACAGGCACTCTCAGACTGGCCGTGAACAGCAAGGGAAGAGGCTGCAACTGGTGCTCTAAACCCGAAGGTTAGGTGAGGTCGGCTGGAGCCTGCGTCATTTTACCAGCAGGTTAACTGGATATCCTCTGGAGAAGGCAGGTATCAAAAAACCAGACCACTAGCTTCTTTGTTGGAAAAAGTCATCTATCATCTGCTTGAACTCTGCCAGTACTCCAAAGATGATCTCAGTGTCATCAAGCATATCAAGTTCGCTGCCCTTCATTATTCCTCTCTGAGAGTTCTACGACGACTCCCAGAGAGCACAGTCCCTCTCCCTTCCTCCTCTGCCATTCAAATCGCTGAGCAAGGCAGCCTTCACAGGGACACTCCCCGCTGATACACTGCCTCTGCCGGGTCCAGGACATGCCTCTGGAGGGCTACTGTGACTGTTCAGTACCCTTTACACCCAGACAAAGGACCCCCGACACCGATTATCTACGATTACAAGCTCCACCCCACAGTCACTATGCCGTGTCAGGGGATGCATCTCAGCGGCTGTTGTTTTTCTAAAGACACCAGGGAGCGCACCTATTAATCTCGGGTCATCATCTCTCACCCAGAGCGCTCCTGAGTAGGCATTCAGCAACATCCCTGATTAAAGTATTAAAGGTCTCAGCTTGTATTATCATTTGCCTAGCGCTTCCTGCAGGGGTCCAACAAGGTACTCAGAGTTCTGCGTGCTGTTTTCATGGAAAGTTATAGTCTCTTAAAGCTACCACAAGAGCACTACAGTATCCATTTCTGGGGGCCCCAAGGGGCTGAGGGAACAGAGAGGAATGAGTGCTGGGAGGGGACGTGAGTGCAGATGAAGGGGGCCAGACAGGGCTTCTCCTCGGAACCCTGCAAGACATCCCGGCTCGACTTGTCTCCAGGCACCCAGAGAGCCCCAGATTCCCACTCTGCTCCTCACAGTGTGGGACGGGGAAGCTTGGCACACTCACAGGGAACTGCTTTTCCTGGTTAAGTTCAAAGATTGGATATTTTTAAACAGCTGTTTCTGGTATTTTAGAACGAATCTGATATGTTTACCCACTGATTGAAATTGGTGATTAAATTTTTCTCACCAGAGGGTTCCTGACTTTCCCAGGATCTGGGCTCTGGCCTCACTCAGCCGTACTTCTTTCTGTTTCCCAAGCTGACTAGAAAGACTTGCCTGGACTCCAACACAAGTTCATTTACTTCTTTTCCCCAGATTGTCATGATTACGTAAGAGCAATACATGGAATTTAGAAAATAATGAAAGTTTAAAACACACACACAAACTATCTGTTACCATTCATCATATCATAAGAATATATACCTATTATAATGCACAAAGTTTTGAATCTTGGTTTTTAGTAACATGGCCTTATATATATTTTCTCATGTCATTAATCTTTGAGAGTCTTTTACATTTTTATTCTATTTGTATTTTTAATCACAAAATTTATATACTTATAAGAGATTGAACAAGTGTAGAAAGATAAAGCATCAAAGTGCCCATCAGTCACCATCCTGTGTAGACCCCTTCCCTGTGGAGGACCACCTGGGGCAGCTTGGACACTATCCTTCCAGACCTCTTTCTGCGTGTGTAGATCCATATGGACTCACAAGTAAATAAGTCAGTTAGATATATGTGGCATACTGCTGTTTCACAAAACAAAATCCTACCTACTCTGCACTCAGCTGCCTGTATGGGGGAACTGCTGAGTCAAGGAAACACCACTACCATCACCATTCCCAGCTCTCGCAGGGCTGTGATCACAGGTGGGTCTATGGACTGGGGTCACCTGGAGCCTTCAAATGCGCTGCTGAAATACCAGGGCCATTGATAGCATAAATCCAGGCACTGGTGAGTGGCCTACGATGTGTTGTGTTAAGTGCTTCACAGGCATCATCTCATTAATCCTCCCCACAGCCCCGTGAAGAGGGAGCCGCTCTACCCATTTCACAGATGAGCAGTCTAAGCTGAGCGGTCTAAGTAAGAGGCAGCACTGCAACTGTATCAACCGCACTCTTCACCGGCTGGCACTATCTCTTCATTCACTCATTCCCTCACCATTCTGCAGGTCTGTAACACAGGAGGCCCTAGGAACACCCGTGCAGATCTGTTCATTCTATACAGAGGAGGGGAAATTTGGTATCCCCCCGCCATTACCCAGGTCAGATGTCCAAAACCCAGGCCTGTTCACTAGGAAGAAGAGTCAGAGACAGAGAAATACATAAGGCACCAGGCCAAGCCTGCCAACCTGCCACTTCAGTGGATAGACCTCACAGCAAGGGCATAATGGACCATGAGTCAGCAGCTCTGGGTAAGAAGCAACAAATTAACACTTTTTCTTTTTTTAAAAACTTTCACTTAGATACTTGGTAAAGCTTTTGGGAGAATTGTCATCTCGGAGAAGTACTTAGAAATGAAAAACATTTCCACCGAAGGCAGAAACTTTAATTTAAAATCAATTGTGAGAAGTGAAGGTCATCAACGGTAATAGTGGCTATAAAATGTAAATTGGTGGTGTAGTTCCTCCCAGCGCAGGTTAAAAGGTTCTGAAAGCTCAGCTTCTCATGCACCAGTGGACTGAAACTCCAGTGCCGGCTGCTCCCCAGGGGGACTGTGAAAGTGAGTCCAGGAAGCCTGAGAAACCTGCAAATTCCGCCCCCAGAGGAAAAGTGGAACAAGCAAGAGCTTACATACCCTTGTCTGTGAGATTTTTTCGAATGACTTGAATAGTAAGAATATCCAGAATACGTGGATTCGGTATCCATAGCAATGGAGGGCTTGCTCTTGCTGCAGGAGCAGGTACTATTTCTCCTTAGAGGTAGAGAGAATTTCACCTACTGGACTCCTCAGACCTCAAAGGGCCTGGGAATCAAGGAGTCACTCTTCGACTGCAACAAATTCTGGGAAAAAAGAGAAAAACAAACAAAAAAGATATCACCTTTCAAAGCCAACCTCAAGGAAGTTATATTGAAAGATAAAAGACAGTGGCAACCTCCACTCTGGGATCTCTGTGATGGAACACATCAGATGCAACGGTGTCAAATGCTCCGCTCAGGTGTCTGGGAGGGGGACAGGGGGGTGGGGGCAAGCCACACCCCACCGCAGCAGCAGTAAACCGGAATGGGGAGAGGCCTGGCCCTGGGCCATCTCCCAGACACAGCCCAGTCTGCCTGGCTTCCAGGCCTGAGACACCATGTCCAGCCCCCACTGTCAGTGTGGCGCTTACAGAGCAACACCCAGGGAAGCAGCCTGTAAGCCATTTGCTCAGTTTCCGAAAGCCAGTGGAAAAAAAAATGTTCTCAATTCTTTAATCCAGGAATGCAAACTTCTAGAATTTCTCTTTTTAAAAGAAAAACTATTATTAGCACATTGCCTATAATAGTGAAAAGCTAGAAACACTCGCAATGCTCCTCAAAAGAAGGAACTGGTAAGGGAAACATGATTCATTCACCCAAAGAAATATCATTGTTGCTGCTGTTTAGTCGCTAAGTCACATCTGACTCTTCTGCGACCCCACGGACTATAGTCCCCCACGCTCCTCTGTCCATGGCATTTCCCAGGCAAGACTACTGGAGTGGGCTGCCATTTCCTTCTCCAGGGAATCTTCCCAAACTAGGAAACAAACCCGCATCTCCTGCACTGGCAGGCGGGTTCTTTACCACTGAGACCCCAGGGAAACCCAAAGAAATATCACAGAGCTGTGTAGAATGATATTACAAAGAATGGAAGTTTGTATGATCTAGTGATAAATTTTAAAAGCAGGCTACAGGACTTCCCTAGCGGTGGCTAGGACTCCACACTCCCAACACAGGAGGCCCAGGTTCACTTGCTGGTTGGGGAACTAAGATCCCACATGCCACAATTCAAGATCCATTGTGCCACAAATGAGACTCAATGCAGCCAAATACATTTTTTAAGAAAAAATTAAAAAAGCAGGCTACAGAGAGCATTGTAGACAGACACCGAAATCTACACTTCAGTTACAATCACAGAGGATGAGATGGTTAGACAGCATCACTGACTCAATGAACATGAACTTGAGCAAACTCCAGGAGAGAGTGAAGGACAGAGAAACCTGGTATGCTGCAGTCCATGGGGTCACAAAGAGTCAGACACGACTGAGCGACTGGATGACAAGAAGACTGCTTGTGTAAGGATGAAGATGAGGGAACATCAGAAAATGAAAGCAGGTGATTTGTTTGTTGCAGGTTCCTGGGTCTTTTGCCATACTTTCCTTAGACACTGCTATGCAATAAAAAAAAATTGGAAACATTTCCAAGTACATTCCTGAGCCCCACATGTTAAGAACCTTTACTTCAAGAGAAAAAGGAGCTCTGCACCCCTCATCCCAGAGCTGGTCTCCGCCCCTTGGGGCTCCTCCTTCCAGTAACCCTCGTGAGTTGACACTGCAAACAGAGTCAGTGAGGTAAGTGTCAGGAAAAAACAAAGAGTGCAAATACCATCACTACCCTCAGCTGGGGGGGCTTCCCTTGTGGCTCAGCTGGTAAAGAATCCTCCTGCAATGCAGGAGACCTGGGTTTGACCCCTGGGTTGGGAAGATCCCCAGGAGGAGGGCATGGCAACCCACTCCAGTATTCTTGCCTGGAGAATCCCCATGGACAGAGGAGCCCGGTGGGCTACAGTCCATGGGGTCACAAAGATTCGGACATGACTGAGCAACTAAACACAGCACAGCACAGCATCCTCAGCTGGGCAGAGGCCAAAGCTCCTCAGGAATGACCTGCCACTCTGGAGGGAACTACTTGAGGACCACCACTGGCCAACAAATCTCAAGCCTCAGGACCACCTACGTGGTGTCTGCCCTCGTCATTTGTCCCCTCGGGTCTGTCACTAGGGCTAGCCTCCCTCAGCCTGACATCCTGACATCATTTCATGTCTGCTCTCCTACGTGAGTCCAAAGGGAACAGTGAGAAACCTGGGGTCTAGCCAGAGCTCCTCACTGTCAAATACAGCCTGGGATAAGTCACTTGTCTTCTTGAGCCTTGGTTTCCTCATCTGTCAGATGGGGATAAATCCACCAGGCACAGACTTCACAGGGTTGATCTGGAGATATAAGCTGAGGCAGTATTGGGAGCTGGGTTCCAATCCCAGGTTTTACTCACCTATGGGACACACGACCTCAGCTGAACTGTTAAACCTCTCTTAACCCACATTGGGCTTCCCAGGTGGTGCTAGTAGTAAAGAACCCGTCTGCCAATGCACGAGACATAAGAGATGTGGGTTTGATCCCTGGGTTGGGAAGATGCCCTGGAGAAGGGCATGGCAATCCACTCCAGTATTCTTGCCTGGAGAATCCCATGAACAGAGGAGACTTGCGGGCTAGAGTCCATGGGGTCACAAAGAGTCAGACATGATTGAAGTGACTTAGCATGCACAGAGAAACCCGCACCTGTATAATGTGAATAAAAGGGCTCATGCGAGAAACAAATAAGCTACAACTGTGACTGCACCCAGAACCACACCGATGCACCAGATAAAGGGCAGTTGCGGTTCTCAGGACTCCTATGACCAGTCCCCAATCCAGCAGCTCTCCATGTCTCTCTCAGGAAGAGAAAGGCTGGGAAAGGAGCAGGCCAGAGTGAGTACCTGTGCTCACCTGCCCAGCCGAGGCTCACCCGCAGCCAGACAGCGCTGGGTCCACATCCCAGGAAAGTCAAAGTGGAAATAAAGTGGCCTATTTTGTGAGGTGATTGTAAAGAATCAGTGTGGGGGAAAAAAACCCCACTGTGGGCATTTAAAAAATACTTTTGCTCTTGGACCTACCCCTACTTTTGCAGAAGACGTCAAGAATCAGCTCCCCTTTTTTTCTCCCTACTCTGCCTCTCAGCAGGTTCAGTAACAATTTCGACGAGCTTTCAGCACCTCAGACTCTCACTTCCTTTCTGCTTCCTTGCTGCTTGTTCTGCTTCATACCTGCCAGACATCAGCCTTAAAAGGTGAGCCAAAATCTCTAGACCTGCCCTTGAACAAGCCTCTTTCCCCAAAGGCCTTTCACCCAGCTCTCTGTTAACCTGCAGGTTCTCATACCAGGCTGCTTGGCCCAGAAACCTGACTGCCATCTCCTACATCCAGTACTGACCATCCACAATGTCTACGCTTTTTTTTTTGCCCTTCAACCGATAACTCTCGAGTCTCCTTTCCATGTCAGCTTCTAGCTATTTCCAGCTAAATGCTGCAGAGGTGTCTCAGAGGTAGGCACCCCAGGCTCCAAAGACCTGGGCTGATCCTATTCACATTTCCTTGCCATGACACAGTGTGACAGATGCTTTCCTCTGTGAATTTACCTCCCCTTGGTAAAAAGAAAAAAAAGAGAGACTTAATGCAGTCTCTTCCTAGGGTTGTTGTAAGCATCGATTTACAATTTATTTTGGAACCTCCCAAAATAAAGTCTCTGGCACATGCTAACCCAAGTTTTATTCCCCTTGCCCTTCTGCAAAGGGAAGTCATCTTTCATCCTCATTAAAACCTCCAGCCATCCAGTAAAGCAACTCTGGGCATGTCCCTCAGAGGAAATCATGGGCTCCCGAGTGCTCTTAGGGGGAGGGCTTCTCCTCCAGTCTACCAGCTGCCCTTGTCTGGTTCCTCTCCAGGCAATTCCTGCCTATACTTATCAAAGGGGTGATCTGTAGATCCTGCCATCCCCTCCCTCTTGTCACCCCAATTCTCCATCCTCAACACTCCACTGAAACAGCTCTAAGTTGGCCACAGATTATTGCTGTTGTTCAGTCACTAAGTTGTGTCCAGCTCTTTGTGACCCCATGGACTGTGTAGCGTGCCAGGCTCCTCTGCCCTCCACTATCTCCCTGAGTTTGCTCAAATTCATGTCCACTGAGTCGGTGATGCTATCCGTGATGCCACAGTTTGCCATGAGCCAGATCCAAAGGTCCCCTCCTTGTCCTCCTTCCCCCGGACCTTCTTATGCCATGTATTCATTCATCCGCCTCCATGTTTAGTGGGGCCAGGAGAGACCTACTAGGTGATGCTGGGGCACGGCAATGACAGCAGTCTGTAGCACATGGCTGCCCTCACGGAGCTCTCTGCTGCCTGTCCTCCTCCAACGTGACAGTGTTTATGCTACTACTTCTCCCATGCTCCTTCCCCTCTCCCCCATCATCCCTTAAGTCTCAAAACTTGCCCATTATGGGACTTCCCTGCTGATCCAGTGGTTAAAATTCTGAGTTTCCAATGCAGGGAGCTCAGGTTCAATACCTGGTCAAGGAACAAAGATCCCATATGCTACAGGGCACGGCCAAAAAAAAAAAAAATCTCTCCCATTATTCTCCTCCATCTATGGATTTACTCTAGGATAAGCTCCTGGGATACACTGAACATAAGTGGTACCCAACAGATACTTACTGAAAGGATAAATCCCCAGTGCACATTTCCTACTTGTGTTTTCCAGGTGGTGCAGAAGTAAAGAATCCCCCTGCCAATGCAGGAGACTCGGGTTTAATTCCCAGGGCCGGGAAGAATCCCTGGAGTAGGAAATGGTAACCCACTCTAGTATTCTTGCCTGGAGGGAGAAGCCTGGTGGGGTACAGCTTATGTGGTCACAAAGCGTTGGACACAACTCAGCAACTGAGCACACACACACTCGCATTTCCTACTTAGATCCCTTTTGCTCCACTTGGAATTATCATCACCCCCAAGATGCTCTCCAGTGCTCCAGCCTATTCTTTTCAATTTCCTTCACTGGAGTTATACAGTCACCCTACTGACCCTATAGAGCAAACCCGGCACCATTTTATAACTTTCTCTCCCTCTCATCCCACATATTTCACTGTCACTAACAGCCCTCTGTCCCCTGGGACCCACCCTTCACTCTTCTGGTTCTCAGCCACCTGCTTCCTCCAGGCTCTGGGGACACAGGGTTAAACTA